CTGTCTGACCTGATCATTCTTGATCGTAAGAAGGCATCCAGTGCGACAGGCCTGAACACGCTCAAAGCACAGGGCCGTAACGTCTGGTCTGTGAGTAATCTTCGGTCTACTGCGCTCAACCGCCTGATAGACGAGGCAGGAGCACTGAACCAGGACTACTGACGCCACCGCCGCCGTCGCCATAATTTGCCTATGCTCCACCACGTGCAGAGTGCGCACGCTGTTAGCCGAGGTCTAGGGGAGCGGAGGCCTGTGAGCACAGCGTCGGAGACCGTCTTCGTGTCAGCTCCGCTAGATGCATGATTTGACCGTGTTCACGCTCTGAACAGTACCTGTTCACTGGTTGGTAACATTGAACTCAACAAACACCTGGGGGCAGCAGTTTGCAGATTACTTGAAGATCTGACGCCACCGCATCATACTGCACCAGTGTTTTTGGCCTTCACGCACATGGTGCATGATGTGGGTTAAGCACTGGCAGCTGACACGCTTGGGAGCACTGAAAAGACGAGTCCTTTCAAGTATGACCTCTGGCACTGTTGTTCGTCCTCATTTAAGACCCAGACAGTCCGTGACTCTCGCTGAGTACTCCGCTGGTAAACTTTTTATGGGCAATGGGTAGAGCAAAATAAACAGACCGAAGGGACCTCGTGGGGAGGTTTTCTAGACACCGTCTATACAGACGGTAGACAGAGACTTCCCCTTTAGCTGAAGATCTACTAATGCAAGGCCTGCAGGCGATCCACTACCCAAATGAAATCCTTTTATTTTTGACTTATTGACAACGTCTTCCTTGATCTTGTACATCCGCTATGTGTTATTTAAAAGGAAACAAATAATGTGTAGCAAGTCGATCTTAGTACTAAAAATGGATGCGATTCTTGGCCACCATCGTAACACTCGCAGGCATTCGCTTCATAATTTTGTAATCCTTCTTGATCCACCAATACCCGACCAGGACGACATAGGCCAAGAGAGGAGGAACAAATGTCCCATACCTGCTGATGGCTTAAACGAGAAGGTCGTTAGGACTTATATGCCCTTCTCTTCTTTAGCATTTGAAATGGGTAGTCCATCAAGGTGGTATCGCAAAGAAGCTTCTTGTCCTCTGGCTCTTCTGATACGGAATTGTTGGACTCCACAGACTTACGGATGTTGAAATTTAGGACCCAATTTGCTGACTAGCTGCTAATTCGTTTAGGACGCTCCCTTAGTGAGCACCTATCCTCGTCATTTCTGTTGACTCTACATAGTTTAACATCACCTGTAAACATGACGTCGATGCAGTCCAGGTTGTCAACAAATTAGCTGTTATAGACTGGAAGGGGTGATGGCGGGGGGCTGAGCACTTGAGATAAACTGCTTAAAATAGGGGTAGTAGTTAACTTCAAGGGACCAACCAATACGGACTGCGCTCTTCCTCTGTCATGCATACCAGGACCTTATTTCTGGCATTGTTTGACGTCCTGCTAAGCAGTCGTGCTGAGATCAGCGTTCGAAGAAGCTTCTTTCGGAAGGAAACCTGGTCTAGGCAATATACAGTAATTTCGGATGCATAAGAGGCAAACTCTAAATGCAAGAACGGCTCTGTCTCTATCCACGCTGAACTCTTGAGAAAAGGGACCTCTCCCCAGGAGCTTCGTTCTAGCCTTCCTAAATATGGTTTCTATTGCAGTTGTTTCTCGTGAGGAGGTTTTCTAGACATCGTCTATACTGACGGTAGACAGAGCCTTCCCCTTTAGCCGAAGACCTACTGATGCTTGGCCTGCAGGCATTCCCCTACCGAAATATAACCCTCCCATTTACGCTTCGTCAGTAATATCTTCCCAGATCCTATACATACCCTTTGCGCTATTTAAAAGAAAACAAACAATGTTTAGCCATCAGTCTTCGTCCTGCACATGGCCGAGATTCTTGACCATCTTCGTAACATTCGCCGGAATTTGTTCTGGAATTTCGTTATCCTTCTTTAGTCATCGAAGTCAGGCCAGAGTGGCATACTTCAAGTGAGAATGAACAAACGTCGCATTGGTTTTACCGATCAGATCGATATCAATTTGCCCAAATTTCCATCGCACTGATAATAGGCTCCTTTGTGCAACCTTAGCTATTTTTAAACTATGCAACAAGTAAGTAGTAAGAATCACTATGTCCTTCTGTCCTCCAGCACATCAAAAATGTTTTCCCATCAAGTAGGTATTGAGAAGAATCCTCATGTTCGCTGGTCCTTCTGATACGGAATCCTAGGATCACACACTTACCAACGCTAAAATTTAGGAGCCAACGGGCAAACTAGCCTTTAATTCGGTTAGGACCCTCTAAAGTGACTACCCAACTTGGTCATTTCTGATGACTCTGCAAAGTTTGAAGTCGCCGGCAAACATGACGACGATGCAGGCCAGGCTGTTATCAAAGTCGCTGATGTAGATTGGAAGGGACGGTGGCCGAAGGACTGAGACCTTGAAACACATTGCTTAAAACGGGAATAGTAGTCTATGTGCCAACACATACGGTTTGCGACCTTCTTTTGTTATGCATGCCAGAAGTTTAGCCCCGGCTTTCTATGCCGTCGTTTTAAGCAGAATAGATGAGAGCAGCTTTTGAAGAATCGTCATTCGAATGTAAACCTGGCCTGAGCAGCATACAACAATTTCGGAACTATGAGTGACAAACAAGTGAGGCAAGAAGGGTTCTGTCTCTACCCATGCTGGAACCCTGAGAAAAGGGAGCTTTCCTCCAGGAGCTTCATTATTGCCTCCGTTCTAGGCATCTTAAACATGGTGTCTATTACAGTAGTTTACCTCACTGAGAAAAGTTACGAGGTCATGCCTATCACTCCCAAACCACACCAATGCATATGGTCAATATTTTTGTTAATATATTCCAAGTTAAATGGAATTAAAAATATACAAGAAATACTGAAGGCATTGTTACCTTGTTTAGAATCGTCAATTCTTTAAAAAACGCAGAAAAATTTGAACAGGCCGGAAATGGTAATGAGGCAATAATAGAATGAAGCACTACACGTAACTGTCAGTAGACTTTGCAGCCAACAGGCTGCATTCTGAACATAGACTGCAAAACGCTTATCGGAGGCTGCGCTGTATCCTTAGCACATTTAAATTTATTGGGATACAGTTTAAGAAAGGTTAACAGGAGCCTGCTAGATTTTGCCGATGGGGACATCATCACAATACAGGGTTTCTAAGGATACATTATGTCAGGCGGTCAGTGACTAAAAACACTAAATTAAACTGATGGACGTAATCAGAAACACGCCATTTTATCTATAGAGAGCACATTTGTCATAAAATTAATTTGAACCTTTAATTAATCCTGAAGTACGTTGAGTGTCTGTTTGGCCATAAATTATGGCTGAATACGTAATGATTTTCGGTGTTTTAATCCACTGTCCATAATGACATATTCTGTATTATCTGTTTATTTAGACATTTAAAATCCCTCCAGAAGACCGTTTCTCCGCGTTGTTGGATGCGTTGATATTATTCTACAACAAACTTAAGCTAATTCCTTTCTGCCTTTCTGCGGGCTTTCTCGCCATCTCCAATTCCATTCAGACTGCGTTTTGCGATTATGGATAGCATGCAGAGTCGCTATATAAATGCTGGTATTTTGCTGAAATCATTATTTTTTGCATGCTCCATTTTTAGATTACATGTATGCAGAAAATAGATCGCATGAAAAGTTAGATTGTATATGTTCTTGGCAGAAAAACCTATCTAAGGCAAACAAGCCCGAAATTCTGAAACTTACCGGAAATCTTTCGCTTTTCGTCATTGTATGCTAATGCCTACTTAAGGAAGTTAACCATAGCATAATATCTACTACTGCTACGACTACCACTACTACTACTAATAGTATTCTTACTACGTGAGATAAGGATAATCACGTATCCAAAACTAACATTATTCCGCGCGTCAAAAATGCATTGGGCGCTACCACATATATGAGGACTCAAAACGTATGCCCGACAATGTACACAACCTGGGATATAATTCTAGGCAAAAGTCCAAAACGCACTGCAACGCCTAGCCAGCTACATATACCTCACATCACAGCTAAGACCAAATGTTGTGCTTACAATATAGCTAATCCTCCAAAGCCCTTCCTCGCAGATTTAAATTAACGCAAATATTGGCTCATTGCCATAATCCTGATCGCCTTATTAGGCGTTGTTTCCGCTACCTTTCAACAGATGTCGGTTAGACTAACGAGACGATGCTGATTCACACTGGTCTGAGACACATGATTATGTGTCAGGCAGATATTTTTTGCCTCCGCTCGGATCGCAGCCTCTCAATTAAAATATCAAGTGGTAGATATACGCTACTGGTTCTGAGGGATCCCTGGCCAACCCTCTAAAGCAATTAAAGGCCGCGGCTGACGCCGCCGCCGCCACCAACATTTACCTGTGCTCCACCGCGTGCAGAGTGTTGGCTTTGTCAGCCAAGATGTAGCAGAGTAGAAGGCTGAGAGCTCAGCGTCGGCCAGCCCCGCTAGATGCATGATTTGACCGTGTTCACGCTCTGAACGGTGCCTGTTCACAGTTTGGTAACACGGAACTCAAAAAACATCTTGGAGCAGCAATTTGCGCACTATTGGGAGATCTGACCCCATCGCACCATATAGCACCAGTTTTCTAGTTTCACGCACGTAGTGCATGCTCTGGGTAAGCCACTGGCCTCTGACACGCTTAGGAGCACTGGAAAGACGAGTCCTTTCAATTATGACCTCTGTCACGGTTGCTCGTCGCATTCACCGCTCATACGGAGTGAACATTTAAGCACACCAAAGAAGACAGACACTGAATGCAATTGAAGGTGTTATTCAGATGATCAAGAAACCCCACACCATACTGACTTTGAGAAAAGTGATAACACGAAGTTCAATTCTACCAACCATATCCATAATGGGAGTTAGGAGGATGGGATTCCATAACCAGGGGCAATTCATGCGTAAAATAGTTGCGTCCAGGCACGTTAGTTCAGTGTACCGTGGGGAGCATCTGCCAAATAAAATTAACGAAGCTCATGAATACAGCACGTTTTAACACAGATAAACACGGAAGCAACTGCTTTGATGATATGATCAATGCTGACTCAAACCAGGGGGTCGAGCCAACTCCAGTAGATTCCCCATCTTTTCAGTCTACATCCTAGTTTGATTTTAACGCAACACGCCATTAGTTAGTATGCTCCTCATATGCAGTATCTACGTGGGAAAAGCTGTAAAGCAGCATTAAAATGCTCGTTGGAAATCCAAGACCTCATATCACTCAATACCTGAGTAGAATTTACGCTAACTGAACGTTAATTTTGGTTTTGTTTGCAGGCATATTCACATCAATTCTAATCACATTACACGCGGCAGCTCACAGACTACCTCAATCATTCGGATCGGTCACTAAGCGCAATATAATAGTCAAACCTGTCCATTCTTCGTATTTAGTGTTGACATAACGACAGAGTACGATCATTTAACGATCTCTCACACTGGAAGCTTGACTTACGAAAATGCGTCCTGCTGATTTATAAGCGGCTCTCAGTTTTCACAAATTCCATCCGGAGTAGCAGCACATGCCGAATGGTTAATAGTGAATTGCCATTTAGCAAGCGCAAGTAGGAATTTTAATATTCACCAGTCAGCAAAAAACGCGGGAGCGCGGTGCTGACAGAGAGTGTGTAGTGCACCTGGAATCATTCTGTGTACATTAAGAAGCAGAAACCGATGCCAAAACCAAACAATTCCGATTTCGAAAGCCCTTGTCAGTGCGCAATTCGAGTTTTAGTTAAGGTGATAATTGCTCAATAGTGTTTTCTAGACAGCAATAGGAACTTGTTCACGTGTAGGAAAACCAAACGTGCGCAGTGTGCATCTTTAGACGACTGATGTAACTAACGTGATGCACTGAAGTCACTGTGCGTACAGGCAAAATGTCTTGGATCCTTCTTCATGTCGTCTTGCGGTAAACATGAAAGTCTAACCGCCGGTTATCAATACATTGGTTACTTGATTCTGCAGGAATGTTTGCCGGTTCAACTGAAATGTGCAGCACTGCACGACAAATTCTACTTTATAGAGATTTACTTCGAACACCATGTGAAGGTCAAGAAGGCGAGAGAAAGTGACCAGTTGAGTTCGGCAGCAATGTAAATGTGCATGTGCGTCGATTTGCAGCTCCAAAGGAGTGTTAAACTGCATGTGCACGCGTCTGCCACCGAACCTCATGTCCGATGAGGCGGTGTTACACCCGAAAACTACGAGTCGTCCGAAATGTGCATTATTTCGCATTTGGATGTCATGCTGCATGTCCCAGTGCATACAATCCAGCTTTGAATTTGCTAGCCCCGAGGGCTTAAGAGCAAACAAAACATCCCGATTGTGGATTTAACATACAACACTTGTTAAAATTCGAGAAGCGTTTGCTTCATTTTTACTGAGACGCATGCGTGCACTATAGGTGGGTGTGTGAAATCAGCCACTACGACTTACAAGTCCAGTCGATAATAAACGTTTGACTGTACTGCAGTGCGGGATCCAGTGAGCAGGAGACAAACGTTAATCGTTCATCGGCCTTTCTCTTGACTGTCACTCGAATTTTGAAGACTGAACGTTCTATCCCTTGGCGTTCTGAAAAAGGGCATAGAAAACGAAGATACCACATCAGAAAACCATTTTTAATAGCACAGCAGAGCGAACGCAAATAAATGTACTGCAGTGCAATTCGTCGCTGTTAGGTCTTTAAGTAATCACCGAAAGGAGGGACTGGTAATACATTAAACTGGCCCCCTTCCCCTTTCTGGTAGTGCAACTGCAGCAGTCCGCTCCTCTGTTACTTTGTCACGCTTCCTCCCTGTCCGCTTCACACTCCCTGTCTTTCTGATACTGGGACACGCGAGTGCTCGGAGCCAATCAGCGCTGCCCCTCCTCTGATTGGCTGGCAGACACTGAGATAACGAAAGGCGCACACACGCGCTGGTGTCTGAGCACCTGAACGGCGGACACAGACACAACTTGCCTGGGCAGCGTGCTCGCGGTGACTGCTTGCGGGGGTTTTGCGTTCGCATTTCCTCCGCAGTAAAGGCTGTCCAGCACAATCTTCTGATTTTGGAACCTTTGTCTTATCAACTATATTATCTCGAAACAACACCCTGAAGTGATCATATTAGCGCAAAGATGTAAGAGGATTTGTTACCAGCGGGCCGGTACTCACTGTACCCCGCCCTATGTAACTGTATTGGCCTGATGAGAATTTACGGAAAGGAACGTTCACTCGCCACTGTCTCTTCTGAAATTAGTGATGGGGATTTTCACAACTTTGAAATTTAAACACTCATCTTGACATATATGAAAAAAAGATATTCCTAGGTTCCTGATTTGTGTCGTTGCTTTTTAAATGCTGGCACTCCTGAGCATGCTCCCTTTAACTCGGCATTATGCTTGAGAGCATTTACGGCAGCACAGAAAGAATTTGAAATAAAAGATCTTATGAGACACATCTTACGGCATCTTTCAGCTGTTATTGGAGGCACAAAAAATTGGTCGTTGTCACGGAAGCAGTATAACTACAACAAAACAGGGTGTTAGGTGGATTCGGGAAAAAACAAGCGTTTGGTCGGTTTGTGAGTACTTACCCTCAATTCACGGCATCTTGTAAGTGTAATGTTCCAAATGACGTGTACCCGATTTTCAGTTGGACAAATATCCAGGCTTGACGAGTCCGTTAAGTTAAAGGCGGCTTTTAAGAAAACATGTCACCCAGATAACTCAGTCATGGTAAAAAGGCAGTTGACGGAACAATGTAAATACGTTCAACGGAGGATAAGAGAGGTTAGGATTGCAAGTAAATAGAATTTTTTCTGAAAGCGCATTCGAAAGATATGCTGAAAGACTAAATTGAAAAGTATTCAGTGTTTGTCTGCTAAACACTTGATAGGAGGAATGCTAGTGAATGTGGACGTTGTGCGAAGAAAGATAGCTGGGAGGGTTAACGCTTTTCTGTTACAATGAATGTTTTAGTTGGGCTAGACTACAGCTTGTGATTATTTATGTCTTTTCTGATAAGTTAGATAAAGGCAAACGATTTCCATTCGTACCTCCTTGTGGTGTAAATATCGGCGTATTGATGCGATGAATAGTAATTGGAATAGTATCGCGTAGGTTCATGTAGTTTACATTGTCAGAATTCTCAAATAGGAATCTTGTAGTGTTCAGTCCATCGCCTGAAAAAAACGACATTCTTGAATTGGAGCATGGAAGAATTTCGAAATGTGAATGCCAGTAATTCATGTTGTTCGCTTACTTTATGTAGAACTAGCTTCCTATGCATATTCTCACTTACGTGTAGAGCCTCTGCAGCCGAAATATCCCATACTGGTGGCACACAAGTCAGTTCCTGAGGCAAGTTTCAAGAATGGGTTCTCGTTCAGGAAGCCGGTCTAAACAGACGAAGACATACTTGAGGAAGAGGGAGAGAGAGTGGATTTTCCTCCCACGAAATGCATAGTTCAGCATGACTTTTGCCATCAGTAGGTGTAAGTGTCTGCTAACTAATACGACTTTACTGTGTACACTTCACTGACTGCAAAGACAATCGATAGGTTAAAGCAAACCGGGATTCTATTCGTCAAGTCATTAAAGCAACTAGTCGCTGTCGCAACTATCCTACTGTTGATTTTTACCGGCGACGAGACTGAGAGATATTGTCCTGTTAATGTGCGAAGGCGTAGGCCACCCATATTAGTATTTATGCGGCCCAATCATTTGTTACTAACATTATTCCAATGCTACCGAGCTTGCACATTTATATGGTGGTATAACTGACAATTAGGGTTCTCACTAAAAGTGAGATAATTTGGTTGTTTTGTAGCCCATGCGGATGCACCAATCTGAGTTGTCATGAGCAGAATAGGCACAATCACATTGTAGAAACTAGCACAAATATTGAAGAATTGGAGAGAATATACGTACTCGAAAACCGCGATTAATTATGGTCGTAAACGAAAGCCTTCCAGAGATGCTGGTGTGCAGAAGTCGATAATTCACATAACAAATTGGGCCATAGCTAAAATGGAGACTGACAGATTAGAATTGACATAAGCAAATGGCATATGGCATATGGCCAAAGTCATATCAAAGCTATGCTCTGATCAAACCAAACAATGCCAATCTTAACGAGTGAAATTTGATGGTCTGAAAATGTTGTGCAGGCTGACTGTAGCAAGCTTGTGGTGAAAACCAGAGTTAAACTTCACGAATGCCTTACCTTTCTACTATCAATGCCAACTGGACGAATATGAAACACAAGCTGAAGATTCGGGGAGAACGCAGTAGCATGGTTGAAGGTGGATCACAAGCGCCAAGCATGAACAGCCGTTACGTATTTATACTTTCGTTTCGGGCGCGCGACCAATAGACGAATTTGGTTCATATAGTGGGCAGCAAAACTAGGCCAGCACGGCCGCATTTCCAAATGCCAAAAACAACTCCTACTTAAGCAGCTCTCGGTAGAGACAGAACAAAGAGCATTTGTAAAATAACGGCAAGAAAGGCACGAGTATTTTTCATCCATAATGCAGCATGAATTTCTACTTCACTCAGGAATGACAGTGGGTCTCTCGGTAGAGACAGACCAACGAGAAAAGTCGTGTACATACTGAAATTAGACGAATCGCCCGCTATACGACCAGCTCTTTCACCATTTGGTCGACAGAGGCGACAGCTAAAGTCTAATGATTTTATAAAATTTTTTGTGCCCCCTAACCCACCTGCCAGGGATTTGCTTCATCATCGCGTTCCTCCGCTCTTACCCTTCTCATACTGCCAATACACCAGGTCGATGAGAGTTCGGGAATGAATGTGAGGCTATGGATAACACTGTGGGAAAATGTCAATTGTACGGGGGATTTCCGTTTGCATTTACGTCTACAAAACAAGCAGTAATAGGCGCTCTATGCAACAAGTAGCCTCAGCATACCCTAAAAGCAGAAGCAATATATAGGCGTTGAGATTTGCTTCGTATTTTCTCTGTTGTTGCTAAAATAATTCCCGGTGATTGGATTCGCCAATTTCAATTCAACCTTCCCTATGCTTCTTCTCAGAGGACAAGGAGGGACATTTGGAATGTAATCTCGAGAACGCCATGATGTTGACGAGGACATGGCAAATACTGGGGGGTCACGAGTATGAGCCAAAATCCCTGAAGGGGCTTCCTGCCGGGCGGAAATATTAACTCACTCACCTGGATTTACATCTAGCATATTTTTCGGCAGTGGTCTGGGTAGGTGCTGATTTCTGCAAGAAAATGCCAAATAACTTTTAGGCAGAACCCTGGTGCGGCCACTAACCTGAGGGTGTTTGTAGGTAACACGTGCGAATACCTGATGTGTAATGCGTTCGACCCTTCTTTGGCCACTGATACCAGTTCTTTGCGTCTGTATCCACTAGTGGCTAGGTGTTTTGGATTCACAATTTCAACAGTGCGTTTGTAAATGGCGAACAAGTTCTTGAATCTATACCTTTCCAACAGACTCTCTAAAAAGTTCAGCCATGGAGTCCAGACAATATACCGGTGAAATTCTTAAGAGAATTGACCAGCGAACCCTCAAAAACACCAACGTATATCTACCACTTGATATTTAATTTGGGAGGCTACGATCCGAGCGGAAGGCCGAGAATATCTGCTCGGCACATAATGGTGTTGCTCAGACCAGTGTGAATTAGTATCGTCTCCTTAGTCTAATCGGCATCTGTTGTAAAATAGCGATAACCATGCTTAAGATGACAATCAGGATTATGGTTATGGCCCAATATTCACGATGATTTAAATTTGCAAGAAAGGGCTTTGGAGGATTATTTAAAATTTTAGGACAACATCTGCTTTTAGTTGTAAATTAGGCATACGTTTTGGTTCGGTGTTACAGTGCGTTATGGGCTTATGCCTAGAATTCTACCGCACTTTATGTACATTGCTAGGTATAGATTTTGAGTTTTGGCGTCTAATGTAATATTGACGCGCGAAATGTTGTTACAGCTAGACAAGTGGTTATCATAAATCTGTAGTAGTAGTAGTAGCAGTAGTAGTAGTAGAAGTAGTAGTAGTAGTAGTAGTAGTAGTAGTAGTAGTAGTAGCAATAAGGGCAGTAGTAGTAATAATGACAGTAGTAATAATTGCCGTCGTAGTAATAGTGATGGTAGTAGTAGTAGTAGTAATGGTAGAACTATTAACTGTATTAGTGGCAATGGTAACGGTAGTAGTAGTAATTGTAACAGCAACAGCGGTATTAGTAGTAGTAGTAGTAGTAGTAGTAGTAGTAGTAGTAGTAGTAGTAGTAGTAGACATTAGACTAGGGTTAATTTTTTGATCATGCAATAGCATACAATCTATATACATCATGACAAGGATTAGATTTTGAGTAAGTTTGAGAGTTCTGGGCATGTTTGCCTTAAATAGGCATTTTTGGCTCAGAACAGATGCAAGCTTACTTTTCGTACGGTTTTTTTTCTGCATACAAGTAATCTATAAATGGAGCAGGCGAAAAGCAATGATTTCAGCAAAATACCAGTATAGATTTAGCGACTCTGCATGAGATTCGTAATCGCAGAACGCAGTCTAAATGTGGGTAGACATAGCGATAATGTCGACAATATAGTCAGAAAGGAATGGACTTACCTTTGCGGTAGAATAATATCAACAGCTATAGCAATGCTAAAAGACGGCCTTCTGGAGGCATTTTATTCTAAATGTCTAAATAAACACATAATACAGAATCTTTCATTATAGACAATCGATTAAAAACACTGAACATCATTACGTATTCCGCCATAATTGATTGCCAATAAGACACTCAATGTACTCCAAAAGAAAATAAAAGTTCTATACACAAAATGGTATGTTTGTGATAACGTCCATCAGTTTAATTTAAAATTATTGAAGAAGGAGACACGATCGCTGGGAGAAGAGCTTTATTAGCCTGACGTTCGCGGTTCCTGCTCGAACTCATCATCAGAGACAACAGCAGATACGGGTGATTCATTCACCAGCGGCTGCAGTATTTATAGGATGCAGTCGCCATGCTACCGCATTCCTATGAACCTTCACGGCTCCCCCCTTTCATCCGGGATCGTTGCATGTGGTGTGTTAATTGCTTGATGGCCGACGTTCGCGTCGTTAATTGCTACAATTTCATCACGTGCGTTGGATGTTGGTGTGATAATTGCTCGACCACCTGACACATCGATCCTGGTGTTGGGAGAAGTGTTCACCTGTGCGCTCCCCGCGTGGTCAATCACACTGACTAGGCGAAGTCTCAGCATAGGGTATGGAAGGGGAAGTTAATTGCACTCGTTGATGGACTGGGGGCCAGCAAACCATGATTCAAGTAGCTCCCGGCTCACTCAGTTGTCACCTCTTGCGAGAATTTTGGCCTCGTCCAATTTGAATGTGTGGCCGGATCTCGTCGAATGAGCCGCAACTTGGGAGCTGGCGTCATTTCTCCGTACCGTTGCAGCGTGTTCGGCCATTCTCGTTGGGAGCTGTCTTCCGGTTTCTCCGACGTCGTTGCTTTGTCCGCAACTGCACCAGATCCGATAAACGACTCCAGAGGTTTCTGGTCGTGGCAGTGGGTCTTTCGGTTTCATTACCAGACGATCGTGTCTCCTTCTTCAAGACTACTTCCTGGGATTCGTCTCTTCGCTTCTATTAGATTTATTAGTCACTGCCCCGCCTGACAAAATGTATCCATATAAAACCCTGTAGTCCGATGATATCCATATCGAAAAAATCTAGCGCAATCCTGCTAGGTTTAGTTAAATTGCATCTCAATCAATTTATCTGCACTAAGGATACTACGGAGCCCCCGGTAAGCGTCTTGGAGTCTATATTCAGAATGCAGGCCGTTGGCTGTAAAGTCTACCGGCAGTTACGTGTATTCCTTCATTTTCTCATTGTCTCACAGCCATTTTAGTTCCATGTAATTTGGTATTTGTCAACAAATAAATTGACCTGATGCATGGGTGTGGCTTTTAGTGATTGGCAATCACTCGTAACTTTCATCAGTTGAGTAAACTACTGTAATAGAAACCATGTTTAAGAAGGCAATAACGAAGTTCCTGGAGGAGGGCTCCTTTTCCTCAGGGTTCCAGCATGGGTTCAGGCAAAAGCATTC